TGTAATTATATGTACTTAAGGGGCGAACTTAAACAGTAAAGTAAATATGCTACAACCCCCACTTATACAGAAAGAATATGACTTCATTCAATATAATACTAAACTGAATTTTTAAAATAATGGCTTGTTAAGTAAACCACCATGACTGGATTATATAAAGCTAAACAGGAAAAAAATGAAAGAAAAAATAAATGACTTAGGTAAACATGCAAACACAGCTCTTGTTTTAAAATGCACAAATTCATATAGCAGTGTATGCCCCTGCCACCTGATAAATTAGATTTTTCTCTGGGATATTTATACCAAAAAGGAAATAGTATATCTGAATATTTTGGTCTTCTCTTTCTCTTGTGGCTGACCCTTCCCTGGCACAGCTACTAATTCTGAAATATCGGTAAGGTGTCATTCTGTAAAGAAGAATAGGGAAGGGGGGGATTGGAACTACATGTACACCCAGATCTCAAATGAGAGAAAGCCACTGAGGGGGGGGGAGGGACGTAAGCAAAATGAAGAACATTAGAAAAAAAGAAAAAAGGAAAGGGAAACAAGAGTGCGAAACAATGACAAAGGATGATATAGAGCAGTGATGGCGAACCTTTTAGAGACTGAGTGCCCAAGCTGCAACCCAAAACCCACTTATGTGTCGTCAGGTGCCGGGTGAGCGTGTCCCATTGGGTGGGCGTGTCCCATTGGGAGGGCATGGCTTTGGTGGTAACGGCAGACTGGGCGGGACTAAAAAGTTCAATCAATCAATTCCAACTTTGCGAGATCTTTTTTTTTCCTGCAAGAAGTTGAAATTGATTGATTGATTGATTGAACCTTTTTTTTTTTTTTGCACACAGTGGCAAGGCCTAAAGCGAAAAGGTTTTATAAAACCCAGCTGAAGGCCTAGGACTGGGGCGACGGCACGCATGCCCACAGAGAAGGCTCTGCATGCCACCTGTGATACGCGTGCCAAAGGTTCGCCACCACGGATATAGAGTATGTTGGGACTCCTCATAGATATATATGTAGGGGCCATACTTACATTTATATTTCTAGTGTTGAAGGATTAGTCTATTAACTACAAGGAGGAGTCACCTGGATGCCCAGAATGTGTTACTGGAATTTTGAAATCTCTGTGTGGCTGATTAAGATGTGCTGAATTAAATCTTATTTAAATATTCATTACACATGTGCAGCTTAGCCCAACAAACCTAATTCCTTTCACCATAGTAATGTTAGTAATGTGGTGCAGCAATATGATTCAGGAAAAAATTATACAGAGAGATGCACACGTGATGCCTATCAGCATATATTTAAGTGTGTCTTTTCCTGGCTTAATAGGCAGCAGTCACAGTTCCAGAAAGGAATTGCGACAAGTGTAATACGTGCACCACGCATGCGCTCCAAATCAGATCTTCCCTTTCGAATCAGGATTTCTCTGTATAAGAAGATGGTAGGTTTGGTCTAGCATATGTTGAGGGCACCCACTTGAACAAAGGTCAAATATAACTTCCCTTTTGAACCCTGCCAATATTTCATTTTCTAATCTAATTGACAATATAATCAGCTCAGCTTACTGCTTTTATAAAGTACTATTAATTTTATAATTGTACATTTATCATTCAAATAGTGTCCCATAAAGCCAGTTAAGTAAATAATGTCATGTTAGATTTAATATCTCATCTGCCAAACTATTTTAAACAGAGAAATGTCTTTTTCTTCATATTTATTTTTCTTCTTGCTTGCTTCTTGCCATCAGTAGGCGGCTGCTATAAAGTACAGGTGTACATATTATCTGCTGTTTAGATATCTATGACAAATTAACTTCAGTTCTCAGAATGATTAAACCTTGGCTTGTACATCTCTCTTAAATCTATGGATGTTTTAGCTTATTGGTTTAGACTTCATTTTCTATGGAACACACTCTGACCGTAAAATTGTGTTTCCTCACTTTTCTTTCCTGCTCCATTTTTCAATACTCTTTGAAAATCTACCAATAAGTACTAGGGAAGCCTGGAATAGCACCGGATGTGATTTTGGGATCCCTGTGGCAAAAACAAAAAGAAAAGCTCAGAGAGTCTCTCTTGTAATTGCAGAAACAGAACTGATGGAAACAAATGTATGAGGAAGTTCAAAGTATGGTTTGCTACCTAAAATATAATTATACTCTTTTATCTATTTATTTATTGATTTTATTTGCCGCCCATCTCATAGCAAACAACTCTGCGCCGCTCTTTAAAAATAAATTGTATGCATTCATTCAGCATTTATATTTGCCTGTTTAATAACTTGTATTTATAAATAAGGCTTTCTAAAAGTGCTATGTATTAGAAAACTATGTGAGAAAGATTGCTTTTGTCTTCAGATGACAACTCATTGTTCCAGTTTTGCAACAAATAATTACTGTTAACAAATATTTATACCAATAAACAGATTAACTTCTTTCAAGGACAGAATCTATACAGAAATCAAACCAATTTGTCAGTGATGAACCACAGAATCTAGGCGTTATTGCACTTCAGTTTTGTTAATTTATTTTTGTTTGTTCAGCAATTAAATTGCCAAATTTCTACACAAATTGCTAGAGAAATAATGACAAACAAGCACAGGCTCTCGGGAATGATGGCTCTACAATGTAATAAAATACCTTTTGAAAAAAATAAAAGGTTGCAAGTTAAAATGAAAACTATTTGTCCCGATGTCATATTTAAACATGGTATAGTCTTACCTTTTATGTTTTTCTGTACCCTTGTGCTTCCCTTTAAAAGTTTGGACCACTTAATTGCTCTCCGAGTGAGTACCACTAAGTATCTAGAAAAGAATTCTTCATAGGTTGCGTAGTCAAAGTCAGCTGGTCTTTCAAAACCATATGGATCCACACTATTTCAGAAGAAAAATGATTACAGAGACATAAAAACCATGCAGTTAAATGAGAGTTATTCATTAACCCAAACTTAAAACAGAAGGAGAAAATAAAGTGCAAATATAATGCCAAACAGATTCCATAAAGTTTTTCAATTCCAAAATATCTAGCTAATAGCAGATGTCTCTATCAGGACAATGGGGCCATTTCATACAATCCACTAAAACAGCCAGAGACCATTAATACACTTCTTACCTCCGAGACCGCCTTCTGCCACAGATTCCCTCCCACAGACCGGTACGCTCCCACAGAGTGGGCCTCCTCAGGGTGCCGTCGGCCAAGCAATGTAGGCTGGCGACCCCCAGGGGGAGGGCCTTCTCTGTGGGTGCCCCCACCCTCTGGAACGAACTCCCCCCCGAGATCCGGATGATTCCGGATCTCCTTACTTTCNAGTAATTTTAATGGGAACACAGCAATCAATATTTGGCTTTTAATTAGGTTTTAGTGGGGTTATTTTGTGTATTTTTGTATGATTTTTTTGTATCCTGTATATTGTATTTGTGTTTTTAATATGCTGTGAACCGCCCTGAGTCCTACGGGAGAAGGGCGGTATACAAATTAAATTAACCTTAACCTTAACCTTAACCTTATGCTCCCTGTTTCTGGATCTATCCAAAAAAGGAGGAGAAAAGATGCTTAAAACTTCCATTTATGTGTCATTTGAACTAGGAGCTATTAACAAAAACTATGGTTATTTTAAACAAGCTGGTTTCAGAAACAATGAAACAAACAGAGTTCATTTTAGCTGACATTAACTACTTTATCAGCCTGGATGATTCCAAAAAGCTAATGTTTATTGTCTTCTATTGCTTTTGTAATGTATTAGAGATGTTTTCAATTGTATGCTGCCCATTTATATTTATAAAGTTGAACATAATTGCTGGTGATTACACAGTCACAACCGTGCACATTTCTGGGAAACAGTATGGAAATGAATTTGCTGTCGCTGTTTTTTTAACTTTCCACTCAATTCTACCATTCTGACCAACTATAGTGAGTATAGAAAATGGCCTTGAAGATCTGCTACCAAGACAACAATCAGATAAATGAACCTTGAGCCCAGACCAGCAAAGTGGTCTATGATAAGACCTCAGACAGCCTCCCCACTTAATTCATGAGATGGTAAAAGACAGAGAAAGAAAGCATCTTCAGATCTCTAGATTTTGTTACTATGGCTATTCTAATAAAAGTAGCTTTAAAACTGAAAAAAAAAATATGTTAAAAATATCTGAAATTTCCAAATTTCTCACGTGGTCTTATATGAGAATGTCAACAGTTTGCAAGGTATCATGAGACGATTAATGTTTAATCACATTTTGAATATTTCAATTTTTTTAAAAAATTGAATGTTGAGGTTCTATGCATACCATCTGGGAATCCTAAAGACAACTTGGCACCCATAAATGCTACACTGTCAATCCAGTGCACCTGTAAGATTTCCAGGAGATACAATTCAATAAATTGCTTCTTTCAAAGAACATGAGCATATTACAGATGTCCTCGTTTAATGACCATTTGTTCAGTATTTGAACTTGCAATAGTGCTGAGTGTTATTTATGACCGGACTTTATACTTACAGCCCCATGGCCATGTGACTGCAATCTGCAGCCTTCCATGCTGACTTCCCACAAGCAAGGTCAATGGCAGGAAGTCAGAGGACACGGTCATGTGAGATCCTCACTTAACAACCTGTGAAGTTCTCTCTTAACAGTAACCTGGACTTCCAGAACAGCAGCACAGTCACATGGTTAGCATTGTTATAACAAGGACTACCTGTAGCATAAAAACTTATCCAGGTTACTAAATATTCCTTCATGCATTTCACGCAATTGAAATAAATTCTAAATAAAAGCTCATGTTATAGTTTCCACATTGTGTAAACCATAAGGGCATTTTTGAAAGTAGCAGCATTGAAACAGAATAAGGAAAGAAACTAGCCATGTCATAAAAGATATTTAAATAAGACATTTTAAATTCAGATCTAATCTTGCATTATACAGCAATATAAAGTCACCATCTTTCAGGTTATCCATTGTACTACTACTACTAATCTACCTTATAATGCCATTGTGGTTGTAGTCCTTGACTTACAACCACAATTCAGAGCAGAATTTCTTAGAGAGTCATTTGTGGTACTGTGACCTTTTCTGCCACAGTTATTAAGCAACATAATTCTCTTAGAGAATTATGCAGTCATTAAGTGAATCTGGCTTCCCTCATTGATTTTGCTTGTCAGACACCAGCTGGGAAGGTTGCAAATGGCAATCACATAACTCCAGGACAATGCAACCATTGCAAATATATGCTTGGTTTAGTGTCCAAATTCTTATTACATAACTATGGGGATACTGTGATGGCAAGTGCTGGATGTAAGTCATGTTTTCAGTGCCGTGGTAATTTTGAATACTCACTAAACAAATGATTTTACAAGTAGTTGTTGCTTAGAGACCATTTGAAGTTACAATGGACTCTCCCAAAAGATATTTATGACCTTGTTCCAAAATTCCAACACTGGCACCTTCCCCTCCAGTCACATGACTGTGTTTTGGTTACTTGGTAGCCAGCTCACTTTTAAGGCCAGTTGCAACATTCTGTGGTTATATGACACTTTATGTTTGGGGTTTTTTTGCCAGAAACAGGCTATTTGGCTAGTTTCTGGCAAAAAACATCAAAAGAAGTGTATTGACTCACCTAACCATCACGGTGTTTGCTTAACAACTGGCACAAAAAAATTGTAAAATCAGATTGGTCACGTGGGTTTCTCGACTTACAACAGAAATTCTGAGTTCCATTACAGTCATACAAGGACTTCCCTTAATTCAAGGACTACCTGTATAAAGGTAGATTTACTGAGATATATCGATATTATTTAAAAAACGTTTGATGCATTATTATGCAGCAAGGCTATATTAAGGGTACCTTTAATGTGTGTCAAGGGTAATTCTTTCTCATTTTAACCTTGGATGAATGTTTCCTATTACACTAGAATTTGGTATAAAGGATAATTATGTAAATTTTTCAATGAGGATTGCTACTAGTAATAGTGGTACAATAATGATTTTTTAAAGTAAAAAAATGTGTGATTCCTGAAATAATGTATCAGGTAAGCCCCCAAACCGGTTATTAGAATTCCATTGCTACATAAACAATTTGTTTACACTATTGCTTCTCTGGCCATGCAAAACAAAAAAAGCATATCAATCAAAAATATTTTCTGTTCCTTTATTTTTACTTACTTGAATCCATGCCTGTCCAACCAGAAATAAAAAATTGTAATATACCACATTTCTAAGAAAAAATATCTATCTCATAACATCTAGTACATAGACACACACACACACACACACACACACACACACATATATGATAGACAGCCAGTTTGGTACAGCGGTTAAGGCCATCAGGCTAGAAAGGGAAGAGTGTGAGTTCTAGTCCCACATTGGGCAACTGAGTAATCTTGGGTCAGTTGTTCTCACTCAGCTCTAGAAAGCAGATGAGAGCAAACCTGGAAAACTTGCCCAAGAAATGCAGGGATTTTGTCCAGGTGAATTCTGAGAACTGGACAGGATTGAATGAAAAGGGGTAAAGAAGCATGCAGAAGATTTCTCAAAGAGGAATACAAGGTAAGTTTAAGAAGGCCCAGGCAGAACAATGTCTTCTCAAACTGCTTTAAGCCACTTGCTTTGTACTGTATATTCCTTCTGTATCATCATTCTACAAATTATATTAAATCATTTATATATACCGTAATAGTAAATTAGTAAAACATTAAAGTGAAAATTTCAACTATCCATGTTTTGCCTTTCAGTCTTGCTGGCATGGAATAACAAAAACATGCCAACATCTATTAGCAACCTGAAGGGCCACCCCAAAATGAGAGAACAAAAAAAACTAACTCCCTTTGTCTGAATTCAGACCCTTTCTCCCATTCCGATGTGCAACAGAGGAATTAGTAGGTGTTGGACGGTGGACACTATTTTGTTGTGAACAAGGAAATACTAATCATTCCTGATGTCTCATCTGTTCCTCTGTGAAAACAAGTCTTTCCGCCTGCAGAAAATCTATGTAATTTACGGCATTTAGCCTTTTCATATTTAGTTCCAGGAACTATCATCTTCTGCATAGTGTTTAATATATTCTTGTCTGAGTCTAGAGCTTTCCTTCAATTAAACCTTAAAATAATAAAATGAAACTGTTCAACATTCATTCAGTACAACTGTGAACAGTAGATTGAGAGGAGATCTACCTAAACAACTCATCATCTCATTCTGCTTTTTAAAAGCTTTTCATGCTAACTCCAACAAAAGAAAGAGAATTTCCTGGAGCCTACCTAAAATAAAGTATTTCCCAAATAAGGAAATCTTACTTATTTCACCATTTTATAAATTTCACTCACCTACGGAAGGTAAAATATATAGGGTTGCCAGGTGTCCACTATTTGAGTGGACAGTCCACTTTTTTCACATCATGTTCACTATTTTTTTTCACAAGGCCAAATAGTGGACATTTTTTTTATTCAAAAGCTTTATGATGAAATGGTACGTAATCTAAAGCTGTACAGTCTACTTTTTTTACTACTTAACCCCCCCCCCCCGCTTGTCCGCTATTTTTTGGAAGCAGACCTGGCAACCCTAAAAATATATTGTCATTATTTCTTTTCAAATAAACTAGGAAATGCTAGTATTAGATTATCCAAGGGTTAAAAAAGTTCTATCCTGAGGAAATCTGTATTCATACAACAACAACAATAACAAAAAATGTATTAAAACATGGTTGCCTATTTGCGCTTGAGCATGTTGCGGAAATACAGCCACTAGTAATAAAATCCTTAAAACAGGATTCGGCCAAGCAAGCAAACACCCTCGGCTGACCGAATATAAAAGCCAAACACACCTTGCTTTCCCAGATAAACTTGTTCCCATTAAAAAGTAGGCGCGAGGTCAGCTGCTCCAACAAAGGAAAATTGGAGAAGTTCAGCCTTTGCAGGAAAGAAAAGGAGTTCCAGAACTCATCCCAAAGCCCTCCTTCCTTCCATTACACCTGACGGGGCCACACCGCGCACGCCAAGCCAAAAACCAGGTTGACCCTCACGCCCCTTCCTCGAAACCCAACCCCGGGCGGAAAGGCAAGGCGCGCTCGGTACCTATGGACGCTGCTTTCCCGGCTCCCTTGCTTCGCTCGCCGTGCTTCCTCCCCCTCCATGGGAAGGGCTCTCTGGGGACTCCTCCAGCACTGAATGATCGAAGGATCCCCCACCCCGCCGCCTCTCCGCTGTGGCTGGAGAGTCCAAAGCCCACCGCTGCGTCAGCGAGGCGGCTGCTTTCGACGGCGCCGCTTGGCTCCTTCCCGGCTCCGAGAGCGCCCGGCGCTTAGCCGCGAAGTATTTTCTGCAGGCAAGAAGGAGCCGGCGCGGCTAGTGAGCGCCACGGCGATATTTGCACGTTGGAGGGGACCAGCGGGAGAAAACCATCCGGCTCCCAAGTTCAGCAGCAGCTCGGTCGCTTCCTCCGCTCCCGAGAAAGATCAAAAGGCGCGGAGCAGCGTCTTTCCCGTAGCCTTTCCTGTGTTCCCTACCTGCTTTTTAAACCGTACGGAGCCTACCTCCGCTAAGGGAGCTCATAATGGCGCCCCCTGAAGGCCAAAGCCGGCGTAGCCGCTAAAGGTAATAAAATGAGCCGCTGAGAAAAGGAACCCCTCACGCCCGGGGGGGGACTCCTAAATTACAGCTCCCTCCCTCCCGCCTCGGCAACTCCGACCTGCGCGCGCAGCCTCGCATGGTGGAGCGGAGCACGCTGAAAGTGCAGGGAGGGGGGCTATCTGCTAGCGGTCTGTCAGATCCCCTCGGGCAAGACCCCCGAGCCCGTTTTCGGCTCAAGCACGGTAATGAAGAACGTGCGCTTTAGCGGTGGTGTTTGTGGTCCCCTCGGCTTTGATTTACAGGATTAACTCAATTGTTTGAGGTTTGGGTTAAGACGCCAAACCACAGGCTAACCACACTGGATGGATTCGCATTATAAACCAAGCCACACGTTTTAAGCTTGCATGGTATGCTAGCACAACTCATGTGCTGTAAGATCAGGGCTGCAGGATCACTGTGTATGCCTGGAGGAAATTCTTATAAGTTTTGGTCGAAGTTTAGGTATCCTTCCTATGCATGAGCATTGAGGCAGAAAAGGGCTGCTCCGATGCACTGCCCCAAATCCTACGGAGGAGGTGGAGTGAGTGAGGAGGAATCAGTTAAAGAAGGATCAATGTTAAGTAGCTTATGAATTCACTTTTCTGAAATAGGTGACCTCTGGATAATGGCATCTTACTGAGGTCACAAGTAGTGTTCTTAAGCTGATGGGACATGTTAAGCCTCCAAACACTGTTGGCTTTTCCGAAAGTGCCTAAGATCTGACTTTTCCAAAGCATGGGGGTGGTGCAAGAAAGTTAGTTAAAACGTAGATGAGTTGATTGCTGGTCTTCTTGGTTGCCATATTATGCTCATTCTGTTCTTGATTATTGTTTTTCTCTTGCGTGGTGGCGTTTTAAAATTTTCTTAGCTGCCTAGAGTCACATATGTGAGATGAGCTGCCATATAATTGATTTAAACAAATAACAGGTTTTATCTAGGATAACAGGATATTTTTTGTTATAGAAATCCAAAATGGAATTTTTAGAAAAAGTACATTGATATGATTTCTTTTGTCAAAGAACCAAAGAATGTCAGTTACAAAAACTTGGCTGTTACAGATTTCTAATTTCTTTTTTTTGTAAGAATCCCGGCTTGATTGTGAATGTAAATAAATCCTACCTTTCAAATCATGTGCTTTTAAAATTCCTTGCTTCTCAGATAGAAACCAATATCCAACTTGGCTGCGTTTTGCAAGGACAGAGATTTTGCATGTGCACAAGAAAAATTGATCTGGAACAAATCTTAATAAACTTGACAGATGTTACTTCCAATAAATATGCACAAGATAGCATCTGAGATAATTTTGAAAGAAAGTTTGAACGCAGTCCTTTGGGTTCAGAAATAAATTTATTTGTGAATATAAAAACACAGTCTTTTCACTGTGTTAAGATATTATATAGGTTGTCCTCATTTAGCAACTGTCTCATTTAGTGACTGTTTGCAGTAACAGTGGTGATGAAAAAAACAACTTAACAACCAGTCCTCACATTTACGACCTTTGCAGGTCTGTAGAGCAAAGGAAAGTTCTGAAATAAGATCATAAACACAATTGTGGTTTCACTTATTGTTTGCTTTGTTTAACAATCAAGTTTCTCTAGCATCCTGTTGATTAGACAAAATGAACCTCATCTTGAGAAGGCAGGGAAAATATGTAAATGGGATGGAAGAAATGAGATGGAAAAGAATTTGCCTCTTACAAATTTTTCGCCAACAAATAAATATAATACACGCCATAACACTGAAAACAATTTTAAAATACATGATTTTAGAAATAAGATGATTTTCGTTTCCTTAACCTTATATACGCTGATGATACTCAGCTGTACATCTCCACCCCAGGTCACCCCAACGATGCCCTTGATGTGATGACCCGTTGCCTGGAGGCCGTACGGGTCTGGATGGGGAGGAACAGACTCAGACTCAACCCTTCCAAGACCGAGTGGCTGTGGTTGCCGGCGCCCCGGCATAGCCAGCTGATTCCATCGCTGTCTATAGGGGGCGAAACTTTGGCCCCCTCAGAGA